TCATGTCTATATGGTATTTTTCTATTCTACTTCAATTAAAAGGACTATCTTCCTCTCACTACTCTGGTGCTCTTCAACTGCATGCACCTGAAGTGGTTCATGATGTCGTTTGGACTCGAAATGAAAGAGAAGAGGAAATTCCGTGTGAGATACTCCCCAATGATACCGCCAATTTTGGACTCGAATGTACAGAATACATTCTTGACGGAACCTGCAGTCCAGAGTAGTTTGGCTTTTAAACATATTGCCGGGGGGCACTATTACTACCGAATTCCATACTGACCTAGCTTGCTGGAATTAAAAAATCAACAAGAAACCAGTGTTAAGTATTTTTAATGCAGCACCCTAATGCATCGACTCTAAGCGGTTAAACCTCAAGTGGAACAGGAAATGCCCTCCTTGTCCTATTCATTAGCATTCGGTAAGGAATAACAGATGTTCTTTAATAACTACATGCAATACAATATCTGGATTCTATCTGCAAAATTGGTATAGCTTGTGGAAGTCTACAGTATTTATTGTTGTGATTTAGAACTTCCTAATGTTCTAATGAATGCGCTGACGCTGTTCCACCAAAGGGGTGATAATGATAGGGACAAAGCGGTGCGCGGATTTGGCTGCCAATCTCATAATTTGACGTGATCAGCGGTAACTAATGTCAGCTCAGAGTGCATTCATCATGCAATCTCAAATTGCTTGTTGTCTTCAAAAAAAATAGCGCACTACACCTACAGGCTATGAATTGGAGCTGACTTAGGACAGCAATGAAGTGTACAGTTGTATGGTCATTTACTTAGCTAAAAAAGAGTAATCTCATTGTTAAAAGTGATTCGTTTCCTCGTAGACAAATGAATGGCTTATTTCAAATTCATCAAACCCATCTCCACAGTCATCGATGACAATTGTGTGCGTAGCTATGAATAAAGTCAGCGGTGAGAGTACATTTACAAGAAAACATATTTACGTTTTTTGTATAAACGCTACCGATCCTAATTAAGTCCAAATCGCCACCACGTTTTGACCGACAACCACATCCACCACATCAGACCACTTGTCAGTGATATCCGCCTGATTGCTGCATATTCACTGATTTGTCATCGGGTGCTGACAAGGTCATACGCCTCTCTCGAATCGGTTCTTGGCCAATTCCACGCTAAACTTTCACTCTTCACTCTTCCAAGACAGGCAAGACGAATTAACAAGGCCTCATTGCCATCGGCACACACAATTTCGGCCACCGTTCCCATCCACCACGTAAGACACTCATGTATTGAGATTTTCCTGTGCTCCGCTAATTTCCTGCATCGCCCTCCTACCAAGTTCCCCTTTGCATTAATTCAACCATCACCACATGTTGACATCTACCACGCAGTGAACATCGCTTCAACGCAATGTTCTGTGGAGGAGAACACCTCGCAAAATGGAAGAATTGCACCTATCAGATTTAGAGGTGACCATCGTCAATTAGAACTGCTCAGATTTTAGTAAGCAAAGCACCACCACCACCACCACCTCATATTGCCTTAGAAACGATCCGCTCCCGAAGCAATATAAATGCTAAAAAAGTCAAATCCGTATGAGATCTCCCCACCTCCTCCTCTTCAAATGACATGTTGGGGCAGACTAATCAAACAAAGCATGTGTTGAAGTGGACTGATCCAACAACATTTCCCACGACAGACGCAGGCACATCGAGTGGCTTAAAATTCAACGTCCCTTTGAGAGATATTAATTGGGAACACACACAGTGGGAACAGGGAGAGCTCAGTTTTAAAAGGGATGCTGAACAAAGTATGAACACTACTTCTCCACCACATTAGTTCCAATTATGGCAGTGACATTGTGTATGATAAATCCACCCCTCACTTCCACGTCAACACACCACGTGAGTGCGACAGTAGCCGCGGATTTAACAACGCCTGCTCGTTGTATTTACTTCAGTCGACATGCAAAATCCTTCGGTCCTATTCAGCCTAATTGACCTCTACTTTGTCCACTCAATTAGCATTATTTCCTAGACACGCACATCACCATTGGCACGACCATTGCACACCACAAACACTTGTCATTCCTGGGCCTTCAATCCTTGGCTAGCCATTCCGCGCTTGGCTGAGTTAAGGAGACATGCAGCAGGGGGCACGATGAAGGTGAATGCGGACTTCATTTTATACGAGGAACTCGTGGTTTTGAAATAAACTAAACAACAAATCAACAGGTTGTGCTACTTTGCGACGCCGACAATTGACTGGTCAAAAATGAGGGAGTGCATGGCATCTCCCCCACAGGTGACAGATGTCATTCGCGAAGTGATGACATCCTGCCAATTATGGTCGGCAAATACTTTGGCTGACCTGCCAACTGAATACAATCAAACGAATAGTTTCCTATGTAAATCTACCTGGAATGAAATTAAGTGAAGGGGTTAATCACTCTGTGCAGTTGATTCGCCTTGTCAAAAACCTCCCCAAGTTTGTGTGGCTACTTTGAAGTGGATGTCGGATTTGCCGCGCGAAATAGGACCCATAGCAGGATTGAGCATAATTTGCACAGGTCTCCAGTACAAAGGAAAGTGAATTACGCAGACCATATCAGTAGTCACAGTGTGGCCAGTAGCGGTGAAGCACGTCGGTACTGTTGAACATTACAGAGCCCATCCACTCCCCTAGCACTGCATCTGAGAATTCAAATGATTCGGCGCTTCCACACAATTAAACCGCATAGCAAAGCATTGCTCGTGTGAGCCATATTACTCGCCTGGAAGAGCTAGACGACCTGATTTGATTGCTTGAATGTAGAGTAGGAGTAGAATATTGTCGGATTCTTGATCAATTCGCAGATACGAAAACAGACAAGGATTGAATCGGATGCAACGACAGTCCACAATTCACCACTCGAATTCCATGTGTGAGGATGCAGGTATTCGGCCTTGCACCCAATTGCGGACTGAAAGAGGGAATAAATGGGAGATAAGTTCTTAATGCATGGACGATGCATGCGCCCTCCATGAAATCCTCTAAATTATCAGGAGGTGCATTCCTGCGCTTGACTGATTTTTAACAAGCACACAGCATTGTAGCATGCTGGAAAGGAGGTCAAGGCAGTCCCCTTACATGGTTTCATGAATGAAAGGACGTGGATCCGTCGCCACCAAAACATGCTTCACCAAGCGTTAATGCAAGGCTTCGGCAGAATCAGAGCAGCCTTCAATCCGCAATGCAAGTAAATTGTGAAAATGCGCTTTCAATATCAGTTTGATGATTAATGCGATGATTTGCGTCGTGGGAAACCAAAGTAATGGGGATGCTCTTAAAGTTAAGCACAATTGGGTATGAAATGGCTGAGTGGTATGGAAGCACCACGACTTCAATGAGTAGCAGTGTGGAGGCTCATGCTTGACCTCTTCCGTTTTACCATGGTGGAATTATTGCGCAAAATATGCACTGAACGTGGCCTAAGTGCAAAACATTCCACCAGAATGTTGCTGTTAAAAGAAGAAAAATAGAACTGTGGCAGGCTGTGCTGAATCCCAACATGGTGCTATTTGACAGTGGTGGTTTCGATGCCACAATGTTTTCATCAAGGTGGGCTATTTGTCTGGGCGCGACATTTTGCCCTCTTCCGAAATTCACACCACTGCAGCTTGAAGTGTGTCAGCTTTGAATCCGCTTCCGCATTGTTTGCTGCCATGAAATAGAGTGGAATCACCCTAGCTTGTAACATTTTAAAGTAGACTATTAGAAGTACAATGCCACAACTGGATGGAGGCGGGCAGTTTTGATTAATTCAACGCGAGAAGACGCAGATCCAACAACACCTGCTCGTTGTATTTACTTTAGTCGACATGCAAAATCCCTCCGTTCTATTTAGCCTAATTGACCTCTGCTTTGTCCACTTAAGTAGTACATAACCATTGGCATGACCACTGGATGCCACGAATACTTGCCATTCCTCCGGTGTTAATCGTTCGTTTGCCATTCTGTGCTCGGTTAAGAAAACATGCAGCTGGGGGCACGATGAAGGGGAATGCGGGCCTCATTTTGTACGAGAAACTCGTGGTTTTGCAATAAACCGAACAACAAATCGCAAACAACTTTCTCACCGATGGATGAGT